TATATGTGAATAAATATGACTATTTTATTATCATCCTGTCTAACACACAAGATTTGGTCCAATGCATGCAACTGTTTGGGTCTGGCATCAAATACACACTCTGTTGATTTTAAAAGGGTCTTTATTAAGAGATGCAGTTACTAATGATTAACTATCATTGAACAAAGATCAGTTGTCAATGAACAAGATTTAGTGCCAGTTTTGAAACTGTTTATTACAGAGCATAATAAGGGAACACAGCAGATCTTGGTTAATACCACTGAACTAGCAGACCTGTAACTCTGTTTCACAATAACACTCAGAAGTCTAGTATGACAGAAGATAGCTGCAGAAATACATCATGAGAAGCCATGTGTGCATCTTTCCTCTTAGTTTCTGCGCCACACAGGTATGGACGTCTGTCTGGGAGCCACACCGTCACTGCAGGGGATGAAGTAAGAGCTCGTCTTCAGGCACTCGGGCGTGAGCTTCAGGCACACGAAGCAGAACTCAATCTGACAGCGAGGGCAGATGATGTTCTTGCAGCCCGATTTGTCGTGCTCCACCCTCTGACCACAGGTGGGACAGGCCCGGATGGAGGGGCAGTCGGTGACCCCCTGCACCTGAGGGAGGTCGGTAGTCTTACAAGTCTTGAGAAGCTCGAGGTCGTGGTTGATGCAGCCGTCGTTGTCGCAGCGATCGGAGCGTGGAGCTAAACCTTTCCACGGATTCAAACACTGCCAGCAGAACTGGTAGACTTTCTTCTTGTCTGCTGTGCACACTGTGCACTGCGTGCTCAGGTTGGTCAGGTCCTCTCTCTCCACATAGGTTTTGCAACCAGGGCACTGTTGTGAGAAACATTAAATAAACACTTCAGCGTCTCAGGAAATAGTCTTCTTTTCTATCAGTGCAGTAAAAATGTCACTGGGTGGTTGGTTTATCTGAGCATGAAGACTGAAGGAAAGGCAAAGTCATCTCACACAAAAAAGCTCTGAATGTATTAGTTTTACCAAAAAAAAAGAAAAATGCAAAAAAGTGATGTGCCTCCATATTTTTGCTCTTCTTTATTAGCCTCCGTCACATTTTACGTCATATTATGCAAGTTTATTTTGTTTTGCATGTAAGAAAACAACAACATCTTTGTAAGGATGCTGAAGGGGTGGCACATTATTCACAGGACCTTCACACTTCAGAAACAGTCTGGGTTCAAATGCAGCCGTGCAACACTTAACATAAAGCTCTGGCTGTTTTCTACCTTAAGGTGATGAGTTCTGTTACAAGTATTGCCTCTAAAAAAATGTAAACATCTCACAATTTACAGTGTTTTTTGTGAAACATTTTGCTGTGTGGACCAGAGTAGCTGTTACACATTTGGTGTTAGACTGCACTGTGTAAACTCACGCATCTGGGGCTCAGGGTTTGGCCCAAAAATTTGTCAGTTGTGAATAGAAAATGCTGCAAATTGAGTTATAAACATTAACCATAGTATAATTACTTAAATTTCAAGATGTTAATGTACACGTTTGGATTGAAGCCTACCAGACTACCTTTGTCTGGTTCAAGTCTTTGAGATTGGCCCGCTGGCTCAAGCAACATGTACATCCTGTATACAGCTCAGATAGAAGAGTGGATTTGTTTTCCTCTTTAAGTTTTGATAAAACAAACAAACAAACAAACAAACTAGACTTTCGTGTTTTGCATGATTGGTGGATGCTCTTCACTAAATCAGCCTGTGTCTTTTTGAATGCACCAGTACACTTACTGTTTTAAATTCACAGTATTCTGTGGCAGCCAGACGTGCGATGTTCTCTTCAAAGTACTGCATCTCCTCAGCCGTCAGCACTGCCAGCCTGCGCATCTCTTGATAAGGCCAGTCTGCATTGCACCTTTGCGTGGTTCCAGGTTTTAAAGCGGGGCACTTAAACTTGTACTGGCCCTGAAATTAAAAGGCCACATAGTGTTATACGGCCAGTTAAACATGCAGTAGCTGTGGGCTTCAGTCTGCGTTAACTGATGCTTTTGGCTCCGTTGGAGCAGCAGGAACAAGTATTGAGCGCAACACTAACACATCTGGTACATTTGCAGCAATGAGACATTATTCATTTGCAGTTACTGTTTAACTGGTGAATGTAAGACTAACATTTTCTCTTTTCCAGCTCTGTTTTGGTTCTCTATCATGCTCTTGTGGAACCATTTCCCTTGTCCCACCATGTTCTAAGCCAGTCTCTTAAGCCTTGATTAAACTCCTTGCAGATGCGCATACAGCGTACAGCTGAGTAGTTTTTTGTTATTTTGCATATATTCTGCATCCATGTATTCACACCACTGCCAAACATACAGTACACACAAGTGCCCTTGTCAAGCAGTTGCCATGTGGGTATAGACTGTATGCAGACGTAAGCATCTCTGTTGCGTCGTCGGCGAGGTGGTATAAGGCCACTATTAAACTTTCCATGTTTGGTTAAGGGTCAGTGTATTACCAATTTAGTCATCTCCCCAAGGCTGGGAGAGTCTGCATGAA